CTTTGTTATAGTCACTTGGTAATATTTTAAAATAAAAATAATACACATAACTATTTTATTTTGTCAGATTGCTTTATTTGAGAAACAGAAGATTTGGAAAGAAATCTGAAAGCTACCTGGCTCTGTGGCAGCATCACACTCTTAACTGTCTGGTTCTTAGACTAATCTGAAACCCAGAGCAAAGTACTCTCTGCAATATACAGGGAGAGATTATTTCCTCAGAATAGGCAGACAAGTTTTTTGGGGGTAAATCTAATATCTTTATTAGACCAACTCAGATAGTTGGGAAAATTTTTCTTTGCAAGTTTTTGGGCACAGACACCATTCGATAGGCTAAAGAAGCATCAGCAGATGGTCTCTGTTCTTCTTGGCCAGTAAGAGTCTAGTAAAAGATACTGGATTTACCCAAAGAACCTTTCTTCCCATGTCATTAGACCAACTCGGCTACAACCTACACCCTTGCCTCAGAATAGAAATTCAAGCAGGTCACATGCTGAGTGAACCAGGTTAGTTCCAACTATCTTCTGAGGGGCCCAGAGCAATATCAAATTGAAGAACTTAGAGAAGATTTAAGACACCAGTATCCAAAATTGCACTTAAAATTTGTAAAAATCAAACAAATAAAACAGAAACGGGATACTCCTGCCTAGCAGCTCCCTAACCTCACCAAGAACTTCCCTATTTCACCTGAAAGCTCTATGAGCATTTACAATTCTGCTTCCATGCTTATCCAGAACTGGTGCAGTCTAAACCTCTCGGCACATAGCTCATACCTAAACCCAAAAGTCAGAGCAGCTCCTAATTTCTTCACTCCAAAGGCCCCTGAGAGACTTGATCCTCTTGTTCATAGAGTACACTTGTCTGTATTCAAGCCAATGACAGATGAATGTGAAGTAGAGAGGCAGTCCTGGAAGTGAATACCAGGGCATGCATTTCCAACCGTAGGTATAGCCATAATATCTTTTTAGAGCTATCTGCTCTGTTTTGGGTTCCAGTGGATAAGTGGAAACATAATCAGATTTTTGATACTGCAAACTTAAAAATGAAAGAGCTTGAAGGGGTTGTTATGTAACTCCACTGAAGATCTGATGCTAATCTTAGCTCAAATTTCAGTTTACTATTCAAGGTCTGAAAACTTATTTAAAAATTGCATTGAAAATTATTCCAAATACCATTTTAAGATTATTTTCATTAAAAATCTTTTTAGATTAGCACAATATTATGATTTAGGCTCTTCCTGCCTATAGGCCCATCTTTGCTTCCTATCTTTAAAGAAGATAGCAAAACCACTCTTCTGCCTGAGAGAATCCATATTCTTCTTTGTGTATGACTAAGGCTAAGATTCAGTGTCTGTTTTTGTTGCAGGCTTGAATTCCACTTAGCAAGCTTGGTGAATTCTGCTGTTTTTGCCATAAATGTAAAACCAGGGAACCTTATAAGTCTTTGGTTTGTAAGGCAGTATTAAAATATAACCTTGTTTCAGTTGTGCTGAGTTCTGGGACAAATTAGAGTACAACAAGCTTCATGTTCCACAGAAAGTGACTTAAGTGGGCGAGTCCTGCACAACTCGGGAGGGATGGAGAGACCCAGGAGAGGCACAGCCAGGCCTAGGGTCAGTGAGGACCCTGTCAGGGAACTTCTGGTGGGACTGAAAGTGTTCAAATCAGCAGGTCCAAATGATCTCCACCCCAGGGTGTGAGGGAATTGGCAGAGGTCATTGTGGGACCCCGGCACAGATTTACAAGCACTTGTGGTGCTCTGGCAAGGTGCCAGAGGACTGGAAAAGGGCCAATGTGGTCCCCACTTACAAAAAAGGGAGGAAGGAGGACCCAGGAAACTATAGGCCTGTTAGTCTTACTTTGGTCCTGGGGAAGCTCTTTGAGAAAATTATCCAGGAGCACATCTGCGAGGGACCAGCAGGGGAGATTATGCTTAGAGGCAACCAACATGGGTTCATTAGAGGCAGGTCCTGTCAGACCAACCTGGTGGCCTTCTATGACCAGGTCACAAAATCCTTGGATGCAGGTGTCGCAGTGGACATAGTCTTTCTGGACTTTAGGAAGGCTTTTGATACTCTCACATCCCATTCTCATTAAAAAATTGGGTGACTGTGATGTTGATGCCTACAGTCAGATGGGTTGCTAATTGGCTGGAGGGCTGCACCCAGAGTGGTGGTGGATGGGTCATTTTTGGCTTGGAGAGATGTGGGCAGTGCGGTTTCCCAGGGCTCAGCCCTTGGCCCGCACTGTTCAACATCTTCATCAGCAACTTGGACGAGGGGGTGAAAAGCACCTTGTTCAAATTCACAGATGACACTAAGATGTGGGAAGTGGGCACGTTAGAAGGGAGGGACAGGCTACAGCAAACCTGGACAGGTTACAAGGGTGGGTGGATGAGAATAGAATGGGTTTCAATACTGACAAGTGCAAGGTACTGCACCTGGGGAGAGAACCAGCAACACATCTACAGGCTGGGGAACACCCTTCTCGTCAGGACAGAGGCAGAAAAGGATCTTGGAGTCTCTATTGATTCCAAGATGAACATGGACCACCAATGTGAGGACGTGATCTGTAAGGCTTAACCACACCTTGTCGTGCATCCACAGATGCATCATGAGCAGGTCCAAGGAGGTGATCCTCCCCCTCTATGCAACATTGGTCAGGCCAATTTTGGGCACCACACTTCAGGAGGGATGTGGACAGCATTGAGAGGGTCTAAAGGAGGACCACTCGCGTGGTCAGGGGGCAGCAGGGCATGCGGTACAAGGAGAGGCTACGGGACCTGAACCTGTTCAGCCTCCACAAGAGAAGGCTGAGAGGGGATCTGGTGGCCATCTATAAACTTATCAAGGGGGGACCAGCAGGAAACAGGAGACACCCTGTTCCCCTGAGCACTACCAGGAGTAACTAGGAATAATGGCCATAAGTTGACAGAGTAGGTTCATGCTAGACATCAGGAAGCACTACTTCACAGTCAGGGCGGCTAGGATCTGGAACCAACTTCCAAGAGAAGTGGTGCTCGCTCCTACCCTGGGGGTCCTCAAAATGCGGCTAGATAATCACCTAGTTGGGGTCGTTTGACCCCAGCATTCTTTCCCGTCCATGGCAGGGGTCCGGACTTGATGACCTGCTCAGGTCCCTTCTGACCCTACCAACTATGAAACTATTTAAGTCAAATTGCTGTCCTCAAAGGTCTTGTTCAGTTACCACCTGGAGCTTTAATTTGCTTGAGTGTCAAATTTTGTTTCTAGACACACCCAAAAAGCATCTCAGGCTTGATTATGCTGGGGGGATTGGCATAAAACTACATCCCTTCAGGCTTCATAAACTAGGCCTATACACCACCTATGTTTTGGGAGAGGCTTGATTAACTAGGTGCTCCTAGAACCTGGCTTGGTAAGCACAGTTCAAACAAAGGTGCTCCATGAAGTGGTGTTCTGGCTCTTGCCTCTGCTAAACACTCACTGCTCCAAGATGTAGGAGATGCAGATTAAGCTCTCTCCTTTGATTTAGGGCAGGGGTGTGGCTTTTATTCTGTTTGATGGGCTAAATGACCCATCTCCAGCAGTGGGATGGGTAGCAGTGGCAGTTTTAATTCCTGTGTGCTGATGCAATGGTTCAGACAGTAACCTGCTGCTGCTGAAAGGCATCCCCAATGGGGATCACTACCTGGAAATTTGGCAGGAGGCTGACTGCCCACAGGCTAACCCCGCTGCCACTCTTCAACCCAAAAATTCAGGCCTGGGGTGAGCAGTGGCAGTGTGAAGTGCTAGATTTAGGGGTCAGAGATGTGTTGGGACTTCAGGACCACAAGAAGCCCTTTGGGCAAGATCCATACCACAGACAGTCTTCTGATTTAGGAGTTTCAAATTACACCTCTTGGCTCCCAGGAGTGGTCTGATCGAGGGATGGCCAACCTGTGCCACACACGGGCTACTCATGCCACATGGTAGACCAGGCAGGGGACAGGCAGCAGATGAGGCAGGGAACAGAAAGTAGGGGTAGGTGATAGTTGTGGCACTTGGGAAAGGTGTGAAGCTAGTTTGTTATACTATAGGTGCTGTAGGTTATGCTGAGGCAGGGGGCTCTTCATTTTTCCTGTAAAAACTTTTACTTTATGGGGAACAACTAAACATTTGAGCTAGAGAAAGATGAAGTGTGCCTAATTCTCTAGCCTAGTTGTCAGCTACCTTCTGAAAGGGAATGGGGGGAGGTGGAGATTAAGTTCTGGTCCCTACGTTCATGTCTGCTTAATGTGAAATACATAATTTTTATAGATAAGGGAGTTGAGTGTTTGCAACATATGTACTGTATATGTACAATGCTAAACTTGATTTTTTAAATCTAAATATTTAACTTGCTGAAATATGGCACTCCTGCATATGTAGAGGGCATTTGAAACATCATTGCACCTATAGTTAAACCCCATTGCATGCAGGCTAGTTTGGCTTGTTTAGTGGAAGTCTCTTGCTTAGTTGGGGAAATGTTATTTGCTTGTTTCTCAAGGTAGAAAACAGTTAACTTGGCTTTCTTTGTTGGGGAAAAATTGGTGAGTTGGATGTCAATACTGAAGAGCAGTTACAGCACATTTAAAAGTTAAATATTAGATTGCTAAATTTCAAGATCAAAGTATATTACTGATTATATCTAACTTTACTACAGTTTGCAATGACAGCTGAATTATTTATTTCTATTAGTAAGAAAAACGCCTACTGTGTAATCTGCACTGCACTCTTTATTGTAGCAGTGGAGGAAAAGAGGATCTTAATATGCTAATTATAATGTACAGATTTAACTAGGTATTCATGAAGAGTGTTAGTTGTAATTGTATGTAGTATGAGTTCAGAATAAACAGTTGTATAATGGTAGTTGATACTATACTAATGGTATGATGATCCAGGATCATCCTGGAAGGAAGAAAAATTTTAGCTTACTTCTATTGTGAAATGAATTACAGAACTCAAACCTTTTTGTCTTCCTTTGAAATATTCAATTTTGCAGGTGGTCCTGAGGGTGGTCATCAATCTCACGTGAACCCAGGAAGTTCTGAAAGTAAAACACACCAGAGCTTTCAGCAGATGAGGAATACAATGGGAAAGGAAATGAAGAGTGAGAGAACTAGAGGAAATGGCAGAGATATAGCTTTTACTCTTATGCCCTTGTATGCTATTGGTGTGGGGATGTTTGCAGCATATAAATTTGTAAAGGTAAGTACTTTCATATTAAGTATCTTACTCACGGAAGGAAGGATGGCAAAGGTCCAACAGGCCATCTTTTTGCTTCTGTTTCCATCCATGTTATCCAAAACAGACCTTCTCTTTTGTCCAGTGTTCTGTCAATGTTGAACTGCAAAGTAAAAACTAACGTGTAGAGTGTGTGTGTGTGTGTGTGTGTGTGTGTGTGTGTGAAACAGAGAGAGCTGACTGTTTCTCTTTAGATGCTTCCTCCCTCCTCAGGGTAAATCTGAGTGGAGAGAAGATTACTTATGCAGTTTATTTTTAACAGTAAGGTTAGAGTGATATTCTGTTGTATTTCTCTCCCATCAGTTACGCAGCAGCAATAATGAGTTCCATCAAGGAAAAAACACAGTGAGTGTTGTTAATATTAAGAAATTTTCTAGTAAAATGTGGAAGGAACCTGATGTTCATTTTTTTTTTTTTTTTTTTTTTTTAAATCACAAAAAAGAGAGAGTCCTAGTCATGGAAGGAGGACCTCCAGTGTTTTAGGTACGGTCCAAGCACAGCACAAAAAGACAGTCCCCCATCCCAAATAGTTTATGATCTAAATATGAAACAAATGGAGCACAGGGTTACAAATTAGACCTTGAAAAGCAGCCGTCACAGCATAAACTGTCAAACCACTGAGGTTTGTTTTAGGCATTGTGACAGAGGAGAGGTACAAGGAGGACAGAGAGGCAACCTTTTGATTATATACAGGAAGCAATTTACACGCATGAGAAGTAACAGGGAAAGAACATAATGTGCCTGTTGGTAAATTTTGATGCACAGGTGACACGGACTGGGATTGAAGCATATGTACTGTTCCAGAATGATAAAGATGTGCGTAAAGGCAACAGGGTAACATTGTACATGAATGGCGTGATAGACTTCTTTTTATTCATGTTGTCATAATCCTGACCCAAACAGATTGTAAAGTAGTATTACTTTAGCAAATGCTTGTAGAAGAGGTTCTACTGGGCTGTGGTAGTCTAGAAAAAATAACAGATTTCCAAAGTTAGAACTGGATATTTTGTTTAAAATCCTCATAATGTCATTAAACAGAAATGTTACTGGAAATTGTGATGTTATGGGAAGTTTTAACTTCCTAGTTTTAGATTGGAGAATGGCGCTAATAATAGCGATAGTTTATAGATGTCTTCAGCTACTGAGCCAACAAGAGCTCAGATGATGGTATTTGGTAACTAGTGTTTATAGAGGAGCTGGTCATAGGAAATAACTTGGATTGAGTGCTTTTAAGAAGAATTGGTTTAAATGAAATGGGAAGATAAACAAAAATTGGTGGGTGACAAAAGTTCTTAACTTCAAAAGAGCAGATTTTGAAAGTGAAGATAACTAGTTGGTGAAATTAGCTGCAAAACCTAACTATAACGATCCTTGTATAAGTAGTTATTCATCTGGTCAGGTCTGGAACTCTACTACAATTTTCCCCCTTGCTTGATATACAAATTATAGTTGTGTTTTGTAGCTTTGATTCAAAACTACATTCCAAAATACAGCTGATATATACATACATATAAAGTGTTAGTAGAAAGCCCATGAGGACTGCAGGGAAAAAAATTGATCAGCAAGGAAGGCAATGTCTTAGGAGGTCAGGGAGTTTAGGGGTGAAATGATAATTGACAGCAGATAGATTAAACCTTTCAATGGATATTAAAATGAATATCAAAAGGCTTTTATAAAATGAGAACAGGAGGGAAGTGCGGTTACTGTGCAGTTAGGACAGAGTAGAGATTAAAGGGTAATGTATGTATGGCCTCAAAATTAAATGGGTAATTTATTTTAATTTCTAATATGATGATATTGGCTGTTAGGGGAAATGATAGGATGGTTCCTGGGGACAAGGGTATAGAAATGGAAATTATAAATATTGAGGTGTAAGTAAAATTTTGAGTCGTGTGGAATTGGATAATCTCCATCCCAGAATTCTGAAAGAACTGGCACATGAAATCTCAGTTCCTATAGCCAGTATTTTTAATGCATACTTCTGAAAATAAATGTGAATGCATTCTTACTTTAATATGTTTAAGGTGTCAAGTAGGTGGTGGTATCATATGTTTGGAGAATAGCAGATGTAGTGCCTCTTTCCTCAGCCCTTCTAAAAAAAAACAACAAAAAAAACGTAATCTAGATAACTATGGGCTGGTCACCCCTGTTCAAGAAAGAAATATTCAAACTGGAACAAGTGCAGAAACGTTTATCCAATAAGGGGAAATTACACCCTATATTTTAAGAGGAGAATAATGACCTTGGCTTGTTTAGCAGGAAGAAGACAAGATTATTTTTTTTAAATATGATGTAGAAGTACATGCAGGGGTGGGGAAGAACTGCCTTAGCTATTGGACAAACTTAGCACAAGAACATATGGATATAAAAATGAATAATTTAGCTTGCAAATAGGAGAAAGCTTCCAGCCATCAGAGCAGTAAGCAACTGGAACAACCTTGTGATAAGAATAGTGGATACAAAAAAACATTTAAGAGGAAGCTTTATTAACTGAACAAAGGGATTGCACGACATGCATTGTTAATATTCTGCAATTGGAGAGGACTAGACTCTGACCCAAGAGGCACCTTCCAATCTTAAATTTTTATGCGTTTGTCAGGGCCTAGAGGAAGAGGTTGCATTAGTAAATAGCCAGATTGAGGGCTTGTATTATAAGAGATTCATCTGTGTGGTTGGAGAGAGAAGGTTGAAACTAGGGGCATACTTACAAAAGGCAAATGACCTCTTCTTGTCTTGGAAGTGATTGGCCTTCTGTTACTTTTGAGAGAGGATTTTAGATTCTGAAAAGCTGTATCAAGCAAGTTTTCCTTATTTCATACAAAATTAAATTTCTTAATCTCCAGTGTTTGTATGGTCTGTCAGTGGATAGGCTTTTGTTCTTCATCTTCCAAGCTTTTAAAAATCTATTTGGATTTTATTTTCTCTTCCTTTACCTTTTACCAAAATGTATGGCTGTATTAATTTACTGTAGCTGTAGTGGGGGTTAACATACATTACTGTTTTCAGAAGCTGGATCTTAATTATTCTGCCACTAGGCCAGCAGTCAGCAATATCTTTTAGCAGTGGGCTGGAATGAACCATCTAGGGTACAAGATGGACAACACTGGGACTTAGCTGATGCCATTTTCACTGTTTGACCATATCACAGCCAAGAGAGAGCTACCTGAGCTTCACAGGCTGGATTGGGCCTACAGGCCATAGGTTGCCAACCCCTGTTCTAGGTGGTTACAGCTAAAGGTTTTTGTGAATAAGTGTAAATTAAGCAAGGATATAGGTTGTGAATTAAGGAAGAAATTATATATAATGGATCTCTTAAATCAAATCTAGGTTGATTAATTTGACAATTCCTTAGATATTGTCATGATTGCATTATATTTTATGATAAAAGTCTTATGCATTATTTGTTAAGTGTGACTAGATTCTCCAGTACACTCCCTTTAGTGTACAATGTGACACCTACTTTGAAACATTACAAGTCAGTGTGATTTCTGTGCATCTGAACAATGTATTTAAGATGAGCCATATATGAAAATAGCTAAAATTTTGAGCCTGAGTTCCAGATATCCATTTATATTATGCTTGGCTTAGTTTGGGCTAAGGTCAGGTACAATAATAATTTGTCTGATTCTGAAATGGGGATTCTTACTAAGATTATGAAAAAATGAGGGGGAGAGAGAGATTTGGACAGTCGTCATAGACATTATTCCTAGATACTAAAATGTCATTTTTTTGGCGCACAGCTTTCTATGGTTTTAGTGAGATTGCTACACTTGACTTAGTTTGCAGTATTGTGGGGGGTGGGGTATGGTCCTGTGTGAGTGAAAAGTAGATAGTGGCTACAATTATTAACATAGTTTTAACAAGGCTTTTAAGTGCATTTTCTGAAATAGTGTTATTCTGTTGGCACTTAATATTATTCCATTTTTTATAGATGAAATCTCAAGAAGAAAGTTCATCTCAGAAAGATGAGACTATAGAAGATAAGGCAAAAGAAACAGGCAAGGCATTTATTAGAATATGTATATTAAAATGCATAGTTTTCCTTCTGAAATAAAATGGGCTTTCACTAATATTTTTGCAGCGCAAGAACCCATTCTTAAATTTACTAAAATGCTTTAAAAATATTAACAAGTGTGATCAAGTGCAGGAAACTTGTGCTTTGCCCCATGTATACAAGCTTCTTATTTCCTGTTGGACAGTAGGGACAGTGCCACAAGTTATGCACGATGTCAATATAGTCACTCTGTACAAGAATAAAGGAGATTGCAGCAACTGTAACAACTATTGTGGTATTTCACGACTAAGCATTGTTGGAAAGATCATCACTCAAGTGGTGCTCCGAAGACTCAGTCCTTACTGACTGTGTTTACCTTGAGTCACCGTACGGCTTCAGGGCTAGTAGGCCCACTATAGATGTGCTCTTCTCATTCTAACAAATCCAAAAACATGTAGGGAAGAAAGAGACCCCTCTATACTGCCTTCATTGACCTGACCAAGGCATTTCCCCTTGTCAACAGATAAGGCCTCTTCGAATCATAGAAAATTAGAGTTGGAAGGGACCTCAGGAAGTCATCTAGTCCTACCCCTTGTTCAAAGCAGAACCATCCCCAATTAGATCATTGCAGCCAGGGCTTTGTCGAGCCTGGCTTTAAAACCCTCCAAAGATGGAGATTCCACCACCTGTCTAAGTAACTTGTTTCAGTGCCTCACAACCCACATAGTGAAAGTGTTTTTTCCTAATATCCAACTTAAACTTCCCCAACATGATATTCCCCAATCACAATCTCAGTGTTCTTGGTTTCTTGAATGCTCTCTGATGAAATAAGTGTGTTTTAAAGATGTATTAAAACCTGCTTTTGGGAGTTAGACTGCCTGGAAACAGAAGGGAATGAACAAGATAAATCTTTTAAGTAGAGGAAACTTTAGGCCAGGGATTCTTAGCCAGGGTTTTGTGACACCATGGGTGCCTTGAGATGTGAGGAGATAAGTTGCGAGGAGGTAAGCAAATAAGCTAAGCAGATAAGTGCAAGCTTGGGCTTGTTTCTGCTTGGCTGACTCCTCACCCCCAATATGTGCCCCCTCTGCAAGGAGGTAAGCACTGTAAGGCAGGGGTAGGCAACCCTGGCACAGGTGCCAGTGTGGCACGTGAAGGATTTTTGTTTGGCACATGTGGCTTAGGGTGGACAGCAGGAAAGGGGCCAGGGCTACATTGCCACAACAAGGATCCATACCCCTTGTGGCTCCCCGACCTTCTGCCCTTGACACACCAACATCTTACAAGTCAAGATTGCAGGTGTTTTTGGCACATGCCCAAAAACATTGCTGACCCCTGCTGTAACTTACAATCTAGTTTTTGAAATGTGGTGCTATTCAGTTAACAAAAAGTATCAAGGGATGTCTTGAGAACCACTACAGTAGGCTAATCACACTACCTGAAGAGCACAATAACAACTTGGTATAATAACCAGGGACATAGAAAAGACCAGTAGATTCATCTTCTTCTGTTTCAAACAAATGCAAAGTTGTTCCCAACATCCTGTTTACTAAACATCTTCTTTTCCTTCATGTCAGTAGCCTGTAGCAATGTGCTCTTTCCATCATGTTTACTCAAACCATGTGTGTACTACATTAGTCAAAACTTCTAGGGTGCGGACAGACATAATGCTTAGATTGGTTTAATCAGATCACTTGATGAGCTTTAGATAAAGTGTCCCCGCCACTATTCTGAAGTCCAGGAATGTGGACACATGACATACTTCAGGTGCTTTAATTAAAGGGGTTCTCAGAGCTGCTCTAATTAAAATACTCCCACCCACTCCCAGATCATGTGCATTAATGCCTCAGATGCACAAGTTGGCTTAGAATGGTTTAAACCTCTTGACTCATTTTAAAAGCATAATCAAATATACTGCACTAGTTCACTGTGAATCAGTTCAGTGTTATGTGCAGACACCAAGGTTTCCATGACTAGTGTCATTTTGGTCCTCCACACATCCCACTCTACTGCTCCTCAACCTCATCACCTGTTATCTGATTATAGGTAATGTTGTGGGTAGGATACTGATAAAAAGAGGCAAAAATAGGTCTACAGCCCAACCTTTTATTTTCTGGCACTTTAAAACATAAAAACAAACATTTATTCCAAAGTCTGTTTAGCTGCCCATGACAGCACAACACAGATTTTTACTTATACTGGTTGGGTAGATTTGAGAGGTGGGAGGAGGGTGTCAAGCAGACTGGCAGCAGGTCTTTGAATTGGCTGAATTCCCCAAATTTCCCTCTAGCCTATACCCAGTATTTATGGCTGGCTGGTTCTAATATGCTAATGAATGATCTGTGGTTAGTTTCATTTATATTTGTTTCACTGAAACGTTTAGAACTGAACAGAACCAGATCTCTTGTGGACTTGAAAGGTATGAGTTAGTTGGGATTTATATCCTTGGGACAGTAAAAGAGAGCATTTCTTATCTCCTTTCCTCCTCCATTGTGGAATGCTGTGCAGCACTGGCCTGTTTCTTCCTTACTTTGGTTTATGCTCTTCTTTATACAAATTATTTAAGCATCTTAACAAAAATATATCTATTGTAGCCAAATAACATCTAATATATTTGGTTTCATTATTCACTGCCACTAATATTTTAACATAAAGCTATAGTATAGAGTATTTGAATTATTTAATGTATGGTCTTCCCTTATAATATCTCTTTGCAGACCTTGTGCTTTGTTTAATTGCATCTCATTACTGGTTTAGCTAAACATGTGGATGGATTAATTTACTTTTCTGACCAACCTAGTTGTCACATCTGCAATGGTTCATAATATGGTCACTCAAAAACAGGCTTTGGGGCCTTCTCTTTAGCAATATTTCTGCAGCTTGGCCTAGGCCCCCTTAAAAATTACCAAGGCTGGCAACAAACCCCAGCACCCACACTGCAAATGTTTCCTCTGGAATACAACCAGAACTTTACTGCTGCAACTTTTGTTGTCTGCACCTGACCAGTGTCCCTGGCTGGGGGCCTAGGAGACAGCACTCTGCTGCTTTTAAACACCTGGTCAATTTTCTTCTGTTAATGGCAGTTAACCAAGGTGTCCTGCATCCTGGCCAGTTGCGGAGGAATGAATTGCCTAGACCCCTACTTCTGTGTGCCTAGGGGTTCTTGAGGGCTGCCCAAGGACTTAATTGCCAATTAATGGAAAGAAATTCACTGTGTCTTCAAAAGTTGGCAGAGAGCTCCCCCATGAATCCCAGCACTCCCAGTCACAGTACCATCACACATTTCAGTAAAATTCAGCATTTGGTCTTTACTGAACTCGATATTAGTGAAAAAGGGAAACTGAGAACTGCAGTTGGACTGAGTAGTCACTACCAACTCCTTGTGGCTGTTTGATGGCACTGCAGTGCCTAAAAGGTGATCATTCTACTTGGACCCCTTAGCAGTGTATGTGTGGACACTTCTTGACCCTGGAAGATTGTGAACCAATTTCCAGTTGTGACATTCTTGCAACAGTTCAAGTGTTAGGTCTATCTGCACCCCTAGTTAATAAGCAGAAGTTCTTTTTCTGAACCTGCAGTCCCTTTTCTGTTTCTGGTAATGTGATACCAAGAGTTGAACACTTTATCCTAGATGCAGTCATTCCAGAGTTTTATATAGAAGATATTTGATCTTTCTCCATTAAAATGTAACTTCCTTTTATTCCTTTGCTGACATCCTTCAGTGCACACTCATTTCTAATATGCCAGTCTCTCTTTTAGAGCATCAGCTTTTGGAATTGGAGCAGCATCTAGCACAGACAGAAAAAATGTTAAATTCTTTACTGACTCAGTTGGACCCACTGTCAAACTGGTAAGTAATTCTAGGATAAGAGAAACCTCTTAAAATTATACTAATCCCCTTCTAAATTTCTGGGAAATTAGAAGTGTGTCAACAGATTATTATGTATGTCAAGAGAAGGGTATGTAGGAATCTTTTTGTAGCTAAGCACTTGCATAGCACTGGGCAGACAATAGCCAGTTCTACAGATGCATGCATTTTTACAGATGACACCTTTGTTCATATGACAAATGGAAGTAAAATGATTATGGGATGATATTTTAAATAGGATGAGTTATGAGAGCGCCATCTTGCAAAACCCCTATAGTAAGATGTAAGACATCAGCTCTGAAGAAACTTAAAAGCCCAAAATGAAATTACTGATTTCTCAAATAACTTTGGTGTAGAATGTCTTCTAAATTATGGGAACACCCAACTGGAGGAAAAATGAATAGAGTCTGAGAGAGAGGGTGGTATTTTACCAGGAAAAGTAAAACCAGAATCTACTGAGGTTTAGCATATGTAATTTTGGTTACAAATGGTGATTGAATATGGCTGGGCTTGGCAGCAGGCCAAAATTATCCAGCTTGTTCCAAGCTGGGCTGGCCCTTCTGACCTTGTCCCCACTGCCTGGCAGTGGCTGCTTCTTCCCACAACCCAGCTATCACACAGGTGAGCCCCTCCCTCACTGGAGTATGACAGAAGCTTCAGCTTTGCAAGCCAGGTAGAGTGGTTCCACAGACCATAGGTTGCTGACCTCCAGAATATGGTGCTTCTCCAAATAAAAAGTAGTTATAAATGCTCTTTTATGAAATAAGCTGACTTGATTTAGGTGTCCATGAATACATGTAACATTTCTACCCAACCTTGCAGTGATTCTCAACCTTTTTAGACTTGGGGCACCCCTTGGGAAATGCTGGCTCTTAATTTTCACTTGCTTTTTGACTACAGAAACTTAATATAGCAGGGGTTGACAACATTTTTGGGCAGAGTGCCAAAAACACCTGCAGCCTTGACCTGTAATGTGTTGGTGTGCCAGGGCAGATGGTGGGGGAGCTGCAAGGGATCCGGTCCTTGTGGCAACACATCCCTGGCCCCTTTCCTGCCACCCGTCCCAAGGCATACATGTCAAGCAAAATGCTTTTGCGTGTCATGCTTTGGCACCCATGCCGAGGGTTGCCTACCGCTGTAGTAGATCAATTCTTTTGTAACTAAGAACTCAGACTACAGGAGGTCAGAATGTTTTAAACACCACGGATTCCTTTTTGAAATCTCTGGGTTTATCTTGTGAATAGTATTTGCACACTTAACAATGCTAACATTGCGTGGCACCCTGTGCACCCTTGAAAGAATGTCAACCTCTGCCGCCGCGCCCCCACCCTCCCACCCCACCGAACCCTTGTTGAGAACACTGGTATAGAGGAATACAGATGTGTGTAGTTGACATCTTTCATGAGATATGTATTTTTAAGATTAAAACATACGGTCTTAATGTAATCTTTCAGCGTAATAATACTCAATGTAATACTGAATTTCAAATATGTTGAATACGTTGAAATAATTACAAATTTAATTGACAAACTTACAGATCTCTGACAGGCAGCCTTTTCATTGGGCAGAGAAGATAGTGACATGAATGCTCTTTATCCTAGCTCTAATGTTCCCCTAAATTCTTTCAACATTGGTAGAATAAAACAGGTTTTTTGCTCTTAGTGATGCGCCTAAAAAAAACTGTCATGTTTTTTTATAAATATGTAGTACAGTTTTGTTAAACACTTGCTTCCAGTAGTAACTCAGAGATATTTCAACTGCTTGTCTGTTTTTTTTTTTCTCTGTTTCAGCGTAAATGCTTTGGCTTGTGAACAGAAAGATGAAATAATGACACAACTTCGGTCTATTAGACAGTTGATGAAAGAAAGTGGACTGGATAAATCAGAAATAAAGCTAAAAGGTACTCTTTGTTTCTGATCAATGTCATAGATCCTTATTGTAGTAAAATCAGTTTAAGCCTTTTAGAATGTGTAAATGATCTATTATTAAAATAGCTGTTATTCAATTCAGTGTTATTCAGTCCTAGGTCCAGTAAGGTCCCTTACTTTCAGTTTGGTTCGAGTATTTTTTAAAATTTTATTTGTTTGCGAGTAGTTGGAGTAGCAGTTTTTCTTGCTTGAGATGTGCCATATTAGAAGTTTGATACATTGCATAATTTAACCTTGAAGAGCG